TGACAACTTCAATCTTTTCTCTATTCATCATGATGTTATTTATTCATATAGTTGTGAGGACTTTTATTTTATTTTTTTTTCCCTTTTCTCCTTATAGATGCTGTTGAGCTATATTTTGTAAAAAGTATCACTGCATACCAAGCAACATTGGGCTCAGAGGATTCTGAAACAATAACAACCATTGAGGAGTTTTCCAAATGGCTTGTCCAAAATGGGGAGAAACAGGTAGATATGAAGATCAACGAATACATCTAATGGTTAGTTTGCTGTTTGGGTCAGAAAACCTTTTTCATCTCACTGTCCTGGTCCCAGATACAGTCGGGAATAAAACATATGGTTGGTGCTGCTTAGGATATTAGTAAAATAATATTTTTTCCTATATCATGATATATTCAACTCTTGGATACACATATCTAATCTATTTCTGGTTCTGTAAAGTTAATAATTTAAGTCAAAATTGATTTCTACCTTTGATGCTAGCTGCTAGTTTTTGTTTTGTTTTGTTTTTTTCTGTTGAGGTGCTGTTTCTCTCTATGTTTCTGGTCTTCAATTTTGTTTTTACACTCGAAAAAGAAAAAGCTGTAAAGTTGCACAGGTTGTAGAAATATAATCCATGTCACTAACTTGTACATGTAGAAACTGTCGGCTTGGTATCTGTTCTGCCGTGCACATTGTCAACAGCAAAAGACATAAAAGTTATGATTCAAAAGTTATAAAGTGCTATTGACTGAAGATCTTTTAACTTACAAGTCTCATGAGTCAAAGCTCTTACTCAAAACATTTTGACCTGAACTTGTAATATTCAGTGTAATGTGAATGCAATGAAAACCTTTTCTTTTTTTTCTGTCATGAGATCCCACATGACTTTGATCTGACCAAGCCAACTTTGTACCTCCGCCAAGTGAGACACACAGATGCATTTGAGATGGTCTTGCTGGTTATATGACAACCAGTTTAAGAATAAGGTTATAGGCACATATCAAAGAGCAAGTTAGTCCCAGGAAGAAAGCAATGCATCTTTTCTTCTGTACTTTATGCTTGGCCTTGTTCACAATAAGTCTACAGTACCAATGTCTGATGGCCATCCACTTCTCACCGAGTGCTTCCTGCAATGCTGAACTCATGGGCAGACACAAGTGGCTGAGTCTCCCTGGTAGCTTCAAATTAAAACCATGTAATAAATACTCAACTAAGTTTAGGCAGGTCACCTTAACCACTAGAAACCTCCATGAGGGCAGACATTTTTGTCTGCTTTTTTTCACTGTACCGTCCCTTGTTTCTGTGATAAGAACACTACAGAGTAGATGCTCAAAAACATTGATTTGTTGAATTTTAGACACATTGCCTGCAAGAGTATCTGTTTTTTAAAAAAACTGCTTTCTTCCACCCTCAAGCCTGAGGTGAGATTCAAGACCTATTCTAGAAGACTGTAACAAAGTCAGAAGTCTTCGGAATTGTGATTCCATGGGATATAAATTTTGTGTTTTTTAAAACAGACTTAATTTGACACTAATAAAAATAAACAGGAAAATAAGAATCCAACTATATATGTGCTTTCCTGCTCATAAAAAGATCGTTCTAGAGCTTGGAGAGTCCTGAATTAACTGACTCTGTTTCCCTAAAAGCAGTAACTGGCATCACTTTTTGTTGTTCTGATATGCCACATGATTGCATGTTGGAGCCAGTTCCAGAGAAATATTCTGTTTAGAAACATCCACATAGATAAGGCAGGAAGTGAGGGATGTACAGTTCTTGAGGGTGCTAGCAATGACCACACTCTTTGTTGTTGTTAAGTGCCATCAAGTTTGTTCCAACTCATAGCGACCCTGTCATAGGGTTTCCAAGGAGCAGCTGGTGAGTTTAAACCACCAACCTTGTAATTCCAACCGACCTTGTGGTCCAGTTCTTTATCCTACAGCACACTAGAACTAGCACGTGTATTGTATAGGCAAATGAGTGTAATCAACCATCTCCAATGGACCCCTACTTTTTAAAGTTACAAAGAACATTACTGGGGCAATTGGAAGATTTGAATATGGACTGCTAATAGCATTGTATCAATGTAAAATTTATTGAGAGTAAAAATGATATTTAGGAGAATGTTTCTATTCTGAGAAGATAACTACTGAAGTTTTAGGAATAAAGTACTATGATGATTAAAATTTATTTTTAACAAACATATGCATGATGGTGAGTCAAAAATTAATCTGCACTCCAATTAAATTAAAACTTCTGTTGTATGCTCTGTCTTATCAGCACTTTCCATTCAAGGTCACTGCTGTGCAGGTGTGAACATGGACATCTGCAAATAAAATTTGGACTGACACTCAAAGGTAAAATTTTCTTAAAAAGAATCATTACTGATGAGGAGACATGGATTCATCGCTATGAGCCTGAGAGTAAATGACAGAGGAGTATGGATGGAAACATCCTCAACTGCCAACCAAGAAAAAGTTCAAAAGTCGACCAGCAACTGGAAAATTGATGCTTATGGTTTTCTTGGATCTTCAAAGGCTAGTACTGGAACACTATCAGGAAAAATTTCAACTATCAACAGTGCTCATTACAATGAGATGTTCCCTGAAGAGTTGAAGCCAAACTTCAGATTAAATGCAGAGGACTATTATCCAAGGGTATTGTGATCTTGCATGACAATGCATGTCCACACACCTCTGTCAACACAGTTGACATTCTGCAAAACTTCGTTTTAAGGTGTTAAAGCATTCTCCCTATAGTCCTGATCCTGCTCCATTGGACTTTCACCTCTTTGGTCATCTGAAAGCATCCCTTTGAGGACAAAGATTAACCTCTGATGAAGAAGTAGATAGCAGTGCATTTGTGGCTCAAAGCTCAGTCTAAATACAAATGCTTGTTGGCAACTTTCTGCTTGGCTTTTCTGCTTCGAGGAAGGCCCTAGTCAGCCATGGCACCCAGCCAGAATGGCATGATCCTGAATCTCACTTCCATGAGGACTGGCAGTGGCTAGTAGCCAAGTGGTTCAGCCAGCCAGCACGGGAGATGCGCAGACTCAAGGTCCCACAAGCCAAAGCCCACTGCATTGCCTTGTGCCCTGCACCGGGACCCATCCAGCCCATTGTGCACTGCCCCATGGTGCAGTATCACACCAAAGTCTGAGCAGACAGGGCCTTCAGCTTGTTAGAACTAAGGGTGACTGGCATCCACAAGAGAGTGGCTTGAACCATCGGGATCTCTGTGGACCCCAGGAGGAGGAACAAATCCACTGAGTCCCTGCAGGCTGACAGAATACCGTTTCAAGCTCATCTTATTCTCCCGGAAGCCCTCTGCCCCCAAGAAGGGAGACAGCTCTGCTGAAGAACTCAAACTGGCCACTCAGCTGAGTGGACCAGTGATGCCCATCTGGAATGTCTACAAGAAGGAGAAAGCCCAGGTCATCATCATGCAGGAAGAGAAGGACTTCACGGCATATGCCAGTCTCTGCATGGCCCACGCTCACGCCCGGCTCTTCACACCCAGGCAAAGAGAGCCAAGAAGGCCTCAGAGCAGGACGTGGAGAAGAAAAGTAAACCTGTGTTGTTGGGGACCTTCAATAAAAGCAGGGAGCCTTTTCCCTTCCCCTCAAAAAAAAAAAAAAAAAGCTTGTTGGCAGAAAACAAGGCGATTGTGTCAAAAATGATGGATTTGTCTTTTGTAAAAGTTGATTAAAATATATTGTACAGCTAAACTAAAGTGCAGATAATTTTTGACTTTATGTGTGTATGTTTGTCTACAAAGAGAGAGAAAAATAAAGCAAGTGGCAAAACGGGAGCCACTGGCGCATCCTGATGAAAACTTGATGGAAATTCATTGTACTATTCTTTGTGTGCTCTTTTGAACGTTAGAAAATTTTCACAACAAAATATGTATGGATTAAAAACAGTGCAAATTATGGAACTCAGATTGCTTCGTTTGAATCTTGGCACTGCTAACTACAGACTGTCACCGTGGGAAAGACACTTAGCTTTGGTTAGACTCTCTCCTTCATCTGTAAAATGAGTATAATATAGTAGTTCCTCTCTCATAGAATAGTCATGAAGATTAAATCATATTATATTCATACATATGAACTATTATTATTTTTTTAAATAAATTTGTTAACTTTAACTTTTAATAGAAACATTATTTAGGTGGCATGTCGCAACTTACTGGTCACTTCATTGTGGTTTGTAGAATTGCTTCTCCATAGAGCTCATGGAAGAGGTAACTTAGGATCCTGAGCGTCTTCAGAATTGCTAGGCTGAATTTTGTTTTGTTTTTAATTCTCTAGGAGGCTTACAAGCTGCTGAAGGCTACATTGAAGTCCCAGGTTCTGAGCCATGGTGGCTGCAGCCCAGAAGTGGCTCAAACCTTTTATAACTTGGGCAGCGTCTGCTTTGCCAAAGGAGAACTCAAAAAGGCAATTCAATTGCTGAAGAAGGTGAATGCTGGCTGGTTTGCTACTTTTTTTCCCCCTTTGGTGAGGTGACCTTTTTTTTTTTTTCTTTCCTTTTTCCCTTCCTACCTTCCTTCTCTCTCTTCTGCTCTTCTTCTCTCCTCTCTCTTCTCTTCCTTTCTTGCCTACCGTTCTTCTCCCCCTCTTCTTCTGTCCTTTCATTCCTTTTTTTCTGGTGTGGAGCTGTAGGGTAAGCACTGGACTGCAAGGTGAGCCTGAACCACAAGGTCAGCGGTTCAGTCCCAGCAGCCACTCCTTGGAAATCCTAAACAGGGTCACAATGAGTCAGAATCGACTCAACAGCACTTAGCAACATTACAAAGGACACCTGGTGATATGGTCATGAAAGTATTTGTCTATTAAAGGAATGGTTGGTAGTTCCAACCCACCAGTTCCTTAGCTGGAGAAAAGAATACAGGCTTGGAAACCCAATGGAGGCATGCTGCTCTTTTCTGTAGGGTCATGATGACTTGAAATAGACTAGAAAGTAATGGGTTTGGTTTAATTGACAAAGATGAGGGGACCTCTAAAAGTTCATGGAAAAATGGAATTAAGAGATAATGGATTTCTTCATGAACTTTTTGAAGCCTTCTCATATATATAAAAACAGAAAACTCGAGACCTCCCATAGCAGTATCACCTAAACCTAGAAACATTCACATAGATTCTTCCACTTTCCCTTTTTGGTTTTAGTAGATTTTTGACCAGGACAACATATGATCAACTAAATGTCCCATGGTTCTTCATGTGACATGGCTTAGCTAACCCAAATTACTGTTGGGTTCTCACTCCTTCCCGGGCCTTTGACTTCCTGACTCCAGTAGAGACACCAAGCTATTCAGATTTCTCAGGGATCACGGTACCTATTGTTCAATGAAAATCATTGTTTTGAATGTTCTGTTTTGTTTCTGGAATTTGACATGAAAAAGTAAGTCCAACCTTGTTACTCCATCTTGTCTAGAAACATAATTGCCTCACCTATGGTTTTGAATGATATTATCAGTCAATATAGAATGCTAGGTGAAAAGTTTGTTTTTCAGTGCTTTAAAGATAGTGTTTGTTGTCTTCTTATTTGTATTGTTTCTGAAGACAATTCTGCTGTCATTCTGATCTTTAACCACAGTATGTAATGTCTCTGTTTTCTCTGAATGCTTTTAAGACTTTTTACTTTATCACTGGCTTTGAGAAATTTGATTCTGTTTTGCCACAGTGTAATTTTTTTCATGTTTCTTGTGCTTATGGTTCTTGACCTATTTAGATCTTTGGGTTTATAGTTTTCATTAAGTCTGGAAAACTTTTGGCCATTGTTTGATCAAATGTTTTTCTCTTCTTTGGATATTCTAATTACATGTATTACATGTATTACATGTATCTTGAAGCTGTGCCATGGCTAATTTATCTCTTTTCATTTAAAAAAAAATACTTAGTTTTTGGTTTCTTTTTAAACAGTGTCTACTACTATGTCTTCAAGTTCACTGATATTTTCTTTACTGAAATGTCACATTTGCTGCTTACCCCCTCCAGTGTATTTTTCTCTCAGGCATAATGTTTCTCTCCAGAAATTTGTTTTGGGTCCTTCTCTTGTATCCTCCCTGCCCCTGCTTGACCTTTGAGCATATGGACTACAAGGACAGTCACCATTTTTTATTAATTTAATGTCGGTGTAAATTCTGGCTTGGTTTTAACTGATTGTTTTTCTCATTCTGGATCCCACTTGTCTGCTTCTTTACATGTCTAATCATCTTTGTGTGGATGTTAGACATTCTAAGTTTAGTCTTGTTGGAGGTTGAATATTTGTTGATTAACTCCTGTAAATACCCTTAAACTTTGTTCTGGAAGTCAAACTACTTGAAAACAATCTGGGTCTTGCTGTTAAGGTTTGTAAGGTGGGATGATGAAAACAGTGTTAACTGTTGTTGGGTGAGGCTTCGTGTGACAAAGTAGTACTTCCCCTTAGCGTTTCCTTGACTGTAATCTTGAAGGAAGCAGATGTTGTTGGTGTTGTTGATGTTGTCAAATGCCATAGGGTTGGTTCCTACTCACAGCAACCGTATATAGGATTTCCTAGAAGCTGCTGGTGGGTTGGAACTGACAAACTTGTGGTTCACAGTCCAGTGCCAAACCTACAGCACCATACCAGGTTTTTCTCCCATGGAACTGCTGATTAGATTCAGTCTTTCTGTTAGCAGTCTAGCGCTTAACTTGAGAGCAGCATTTAGTGTGGGCCTGCTTATCACCCATTACTGATGCAGGAGCCTTCCAATAGGCCACCCAGATCTCCATGAGGCTTTCTAGTTTGGCTGGTGGGACCCTACTCTTGATCCTGTGTAAGCACAAGATCTAAGGTAATTGTGGTTGTGTGCTGTCAAATCAATTCTAACTCATAGCAGCTGTATATTGGGTTCCCAAGAGCAACTGGTAGGTTGAACTGCTGGTTTCGTGATTAGTAGTACAGTGCTTATCCTACAGCACAAAGTAGTTTCCGCAGTCCCTTTGGATGCTTGTATCCCCACCTTCGGAAGTTTCCTCACATGCATGTGCTGTGCTAATCAGTACTCTTCTGAATACTCAAGGGGGCCCACAGCAGTTGGCTCTTTTCTGTGTGCAATCTTTTCTTGGTTATTGTGCCCTGAAAGTCTCCCAGGACTCGCAGCCACAGCTCCTCAACTGAGAGAGTCCGCTGGTCCCCTTCCCTGCATCACAGCCTGGGAACTCTTCGCAAAGCAATCCCCAGGACTGACTTCACTTGATCTCTGCCTCTTAGCAGTCGCTGCTTTTTGTTGTCTGATGCACAGTGTCTTGAAAATCTTTCACATATTTTGTCAGCTTTTTCTGTTTGGGGCTGTTTCAAGCAGGAAGGTAAATCTGGTCCCTATTACCCCATTTTGGCTGGAAGCAGAATTCAACAATATAATTTTAAATGGAAAAATGCCTAAGCATAGAGCATTGTAGCATGCTAATACAATGCAAATTTGGGACACAGATACAGATTTCAATTGTATTCCCCAATTTGGTCACAGCTATTTGGAAAATGCTGCTGGAAACCACTGTTATAAACAACCACCTTTTAAAATAGGTATGCTGTCAGTTTCCCATACTGATACTTACTTTCCATAGCCATGGCTGGAGTAACATACATGCAGCATAAGAGATGCATTGTGTAGCTAAAGAGCCTTCAATCCAGACTTTCTTACCTATTAGGGAATCCCTGAAATGTGCAAGCATTTGAAATGTAAACTGTGGCATTTGTCTTACTGGTCTCCTGCTGAATTTGGTTTGCAATTAAGGTGTTTCTTTTTGTTTTTTAATTCACTTACAGTGTCTGATGATTCAAGTCTTTCTATATGGAAGTGAGCACAGTAAAAGCAGAGAGACAAAACAGTTCCTTACCCTGCTGCAAAGGTAAGTTCTGAAGCTGGTCATCAACCAGGTCATCAGTGTGGATAGGTGGATGCTATAGCCTCTCCTAGATTCATCCTGGTGTGATGCTGTAGGATAAGCACTGGACCACAAGGTCAAAGGTTCAAACTCACCAGCCACTCAAACTCACAAGGTCACTATGAGTCAGAACTGACTCAACAGCACTTAACAACATATTCATCAAGTTAGGGGTTATTTCATCTCTGTCATTTTTGCTAGTAAGGCAGAATATGTGCCATTGAGTCAGTACCAACTTATAGCAACCTTGTATAGGGCTTCCAAGAGCAGCTGGTGGGTTTGAACCACCTAACTCAAAATGAGGAGAAACAGCTTTAAAAATTGGAACATGGAGTGTATGAAGTATTAATCTAGGAAAATTGGAAATTGTCAAAAATCAAATGGAACGTTAAAAACATTGATATCCTAGGCTTAGTGAGTTGAAATGGACTGGCAGTGGCCACTTTGAATCTGTGACAATCATATATATGAGTTACTATCCCAGGAATGACAAATTGAGAAGGAATGGCATCACATACATCATCAAAAAGAACATTTCAAGATCTGTCTTGAAGTATAATGCTGTCTGTGACAGAATAATATCCATATGCCTAGAGGGAAGATCAGTTAATAAGACTGTTTTTTATATTTACACACCAATCACTAAAGCCAGTGATGATGAAATTGAAGACTTCTGCCAACTTCTTCAGTCTGAAATTGATCAAACATCCAATCACAATGTATTGATAATAAATAGTGATTGGAATGCAAAAATTGGAAACAAAGAGGAAGGATCAGTGGTTGGTAAATAGGGTCTTGGTGATAGAAATTATGCTGGAAATCATATAATAGAAATTTTCAAGACCAATGACTTCTTCATTGCAAATACCTGTTTTAAACAATACACAAGATGATTATACACATGGACTTCTCCAGATGGAATGCACAGAAATCAAACTGACAGCATCTTTGGAAAGAGATGGTGGAACAAATCCATGTCTTCAGCCAACACAAGGCCAGTGGCAGCCTGTAGAACAGACCACCAATTGCTCATATGGAAGTTTTGGCTGAAGCTAACAAAAATTAAAGAAAGCCCATGAGAGCCAAAATATGACCTTGAACATATTCCACCTGAATTTAGAGATCATCTAAAGAACAGATTTGATG